GGGGGGGGGGGGGGGGTTGAACGAGTTTCATATTGAAAGAACAGCGGTTAGGGAGTGTTCGGGCGAGTGCACGAAGGCGACGCAATGTGTTGTCTGCAATAGCAGACAACACATTGTCGTCTCTGGCATTTTGCCAACCAGCTTATCGACTTTTCACCAACTTCGTTCCAATGCGAAAGTGGTGAACGGCAATTAGATTTTGTAGTCAACCTAGCGAGGGGCGGAGGGCGACCATGGGTAACTCTCCGGCCCTCTATTGTGCCCTATACAGCCGTTTTCCGATCTCTTTCCCGCACAAATGGTATCAGAGGGGCCGTCGAATTCAAACCATGTGCAAATCTCCGAAACCATTTTTTCGTGAACAGTGCCTTTAAGTTCGGAAGCACAGTTCACGATTCAAGATGAAATAAAACGGCCAAGATTTCTTCCTAGGATGAACCTGCGACACTAAGGATAGCACAGAAAAACGAAGTATTTCGTGGGAAGCAGACGAATTCCATGAGCAACAAACGTACCAGCGAAAAAGGTAGAAGGCTCAGAACGAAATTTAGACGAGAAGCAGTGAACTGATGCGCTGATTTGTGACCTGCACGAGACTCTTTTACTCGGAACGAGGTTTGACTTTGGAATTTTTTCTACCTTCTATTTTGGTAACCTTTTTCAAGCTTTTTCATGGAACGCTTGAAAAAATAAAATGCTTTTTCAAGCTTTTTTTATAAAATGCTTGAAAAAGGTTAACAAAAAGAGGTGATGAAAAAAATCAGAATGAAAATATTTTTCACTCATAGAGGAAGGGCAAGCATATGAGCAAATTATAGGAATAAGTGAAGTTTGCCCTTTAGGTTCAGGTGGCAGGAACCGTACCTGACTAAACTATCTCAAGCATGTCTTTCTGGGAGTTGGACACTGGGCATAAATACTTCACTGGCCAACGCATCGACACCGCCCAGCAGACACAGCTCTTACTTAGTTCACGAATTATCTTTCTGAAACTACCAGGGCCTACCAGGACTTACCAGTTGCTACCACAATTTCCATTCACCATCTACGATCTCACTCACCGCAATCATCATGCATCTGAGTATCGATGAACTCAGTAGGAGTTTTCCATTTAAAGTTCAGCTCTCAAAGATTAAGTTCCAGAGAGAATTATTATTATGTGACTTTATCTACACAGAAACAATGGGCCTCCCATTCAGGAGCCAATTTTTGTTCGTTCGTTTACTTGCATTTTCACCCTCATTCGAATAATAGCAGCAAAGAACTACCGGGAGATTTTTTGTGACAGTTTCTTTTCCATCACCTTTTTTGTCACGCTTTTTCAAACAGCCCATTGTTTCGAAGTTATGAAAAAATGAACCACCGTAAAGAATAAAAGGGACTAGCGTAGGTCACAAGTCAGCACATCAATTCGATATGCTTCGTCTAGTTATCTTTCTGAGCCTTCTAGCTTTTTCACTGGTATGTTCATCGCTTATGAAAGTTAGGCAGTTCCCAACTATGAGTAGTCTCATTAAGCAAGTATAGCTGTCGAGGAAATTTCTTTTGGAAGTTTTCATTTAGGCATGTAAACCGTCGAACTCGACGTCTTCAGGGTCATCTAGTGCTAGTGGCAATAAAACCACCAAACGCGAGGTCGAAAAAGCACACGTTCTTGTCGAGACCCAACTGAAATTCAACCCGACCCTCAACCCAATCTTCGAGAGAGCATTCAAACAGGGGGTAAGAAATTTTGCAACCATAAGAAGCAGAGCTCTTCTTTCGCCTTTGCAGATCACTCGGGATTAATACAATAGCGAAGGATTTCGTGACAAAGCTACATTCAGGTTGAACAACATGCGCACAGACACGGAGTCCACTACGACCACGACCTGGTTTATGGAAAAACTGAGAGAGTCGGACACAAATTCGCTATGGGTTACCAAATCTACGGTGCTGACTGTGAAGAGGTACACATTTTGGTATTTACGGATCGAATCTCACAGTTGGAGGCGAGTCTGATGCACTGTAAATAACTGAGAGCAAAAACAAGGTCAAAGATTCATTGCTTTGGAAAATTCTTAAGTTCATCCCATGAGCGAAAAGGCTATCCTCTGCCGGAGAAAATCCACTTTATTGATTAACACTGCAGTTTTGTAGTCAAGTAGGGTAGTCAAGTTTCCAAAAACGGGGAGCAAAGATTCCTTGCAGTTCAATTTTTCTCCAAGCCGGATCACTTCCTTGCAAACTGTTTACTTTGTCATAACTGTTGCCCTCGACTAAAAAGAGTATTCCCCATTGTGCGATCATGCGCTAGTGCGCTAACGTTGTGCATTTCTGGATTAACTTTCGACTATGAGTTCGTTCTAACCTCGTGCGGATGNGAGTCCACTACGACCACGACCTGGTTTATGGAAAAACTGAGAGA